TTGGTGTTTGTCCCTTTTAACATGTTCTTCCCCTCTGGTTTAGCTGTGAGTGTGTTGTGTTTGCTTGATCTACCACAAGAAGGGAAGTGTCTGTTCCAAAACCAATGTGTACCAGCAACTTCCTTTCCAGTGCATTACAGGAGAGTTCTACTAAGCACTAGTTACATCTCTTCAGGCAACATAACAAGAACTCTAGTGCAATTTAAGAAGATCAACAACCCATTTTATTCAAAGTTTCAAGCAAATGTGAACTATTTACTCCTATGTAGATGCCATGGCTGATTTCATGTTCTGAAAATGCTAGTTGTCTGGCTGTTTTTTGTCTTTAAAGTGATTCTGACCTCTGCTTTTAGAATGTTCGTTCCCTTGCTGTCATGGCAATGTGTTGGCATCAATGCTTTCTCTGTCACTTACCTAAGTATAATTCTGACACAGTTACAGTATGCTTGTTCTGGGTATGTGACTCATAAGTATTGAAGTCAAACACAACCAAGCAACTAGCAGTTTTAAAAGGAGTCTTGCAATGGTAGCCACCATAGCTTTTGCATGACAGTCACTTTAAAGACTAACACAGGTACTTTATAGCAGTACAGAATGACTGCATGTCTGCATTGTTTTTACCTTTTAGAAACATCTTCGGTCTGGATTTACTGGTTATGTACATATTTTGGGTTAGTCCATAAAAAGTATAGAAGTCTGAGAATCACTATGAGGTTCATGTATAAAAATTCCACCTGGCATATAGCTGGGAGGATGCCTTTCACATGGCACTAGTGCTCCTAGATGGCATTGAGGAGTTAGGAATTTGCTATACTCCTCAGCGCTTTATAGGAGCGTCAGTGCCCTGTGAACGCTATATGTTTGGTGTATAGCTGGGCAAATGTCTGGGGTTCATTTAATAAATTAACTCCTAAGTATGCCATCTACAGAAGAGGCCCACCAATGGTAGCCTAAAAAACTCCCTCTATACAGGTTTTCTTTAAAGGAGAACTATGGGGTTAAGGCTTTTCCCCATAGTTCTCCTTAAGGTAACGGGTGGACACAAACTAGCGTCCTCCCGTCACCCTAAGCTCAGTATACCGCGAGCTGTAGCGGAGCGGGGAGGGGGGAATCCAGCCCCTCCCCTGTCACAGCAGAGAGCCGTGACAGGATCGAGAGGTGAGCGAACGCCGGTATGTGTTCGCTCACCTCCCGATCTACTGAGCCGACCTGTGACAGTCTCATTGTCACAGGTCGGCTAGAACTATGAGGTAAGTATAAAGCACTCGCCTCGTAGTTCTCCTTTTAATATAAAAACATATGTACGCCTCCTTTGTGTTTTTAACATTTACCATGGGTTTAAAAAAACTGATGAGATGGTATGTGTGGGCACTCCTCAGCATGTCCTAACTGCCAGTGGAAGGTGTGCACACAGATATAGGGTGACTCACTGTGATCTTAAAGCAGACGCAAAATTGTTCTGGACTAAATGACAAACCATTCTGCCATTAGAAATGATAAAAGGTTTCCATGTAGTCTAAAGGTCCTCTTTAAAATAAAGCAACCAAATCAAAATAAAGGAATTAGTTCTTTAAACACCTTCACAAGCACCCTAAAACTTAGGGCACCCAAACATGCAAATGCAAAGTTCTCCCTTAACTCCCTATCGGACCACTACTGTGATCATTGGCCTCCCCTTTAGTGAGACATGGAAGGCTAGATGTGCTTAACTGCATCTAGAGATGTCAGAATTTTTTTATCAGAGTTTTAACATTCTTGGAATACCCCTAAAGGTGCCCATTCACTCTTCTATTTCCCTTCGGAAATCGAACACTAACGTGGATTAAAGCGCTAATCGATCAGTTAATGGGAACCCAATGATTTTAATTACTGTACTTCTGGCCGAATTTCCTCAAACGGTCAGGCTGGAGAACTTTTTTTGAATCGAATGAAAATCGATGGATTAGTGGCGTATTCGCACGAAAAAAATCGCAACAAGATCACTGCACATGCGCAAACGAAAATCCATTCTGTCGATCGACAGAATTCAGTGAGCTAGTATTGCTAACGAACGATTTTCGAAATTGGCATTGGACTTTGCATGATGGGGTATTCGAGCGGAAATCGACGAGGGTTGGATGATGGCACTAAATAAATCGCACAATAATCTACAAGTGTATGGCCAGCTGAAAGCTTCTTTCACGCGGCCGCAAGAGAGCCATACACCGTACATTTCGGCTTATTCACCTGCATCATACATCAGCGTATTGCCAACCTGTACAAATCGGTTACAGGCCGGCTGATGCCACGGCTGTACAGGTATGTACATAAATCCCAATTTTTACATGTGTATGGTGACTTGCGCACTGCCCTGACTACAGAGGGTCCAAGTTTGGGGCAGTGTATATGTTCCAGTGTTAAGAGTGGTATTTGCATACATACAGCTGCGGCTTCAGCAAGCTTTATTGATTTGTACAGATTGACAATACGCTGATGTACGGTGCAGGGGGATACGCCAGGATGTACGCTATACAGCCCTCTTGCCACCACATGCAAAAGACCTAAAACTTTTTCAAAAGTATGTAAAGTCACAGTTAGGTGTCTCCTTTTTATTTTTCTTTTGTTTTTGTAGCTTTTAAAAAGTTACAGGTTGCTTTACCGGCCTTTATCATTTTTTTTTTTACGTTCAATATTTAAGTATTATATAAGCCGCTGTCACAATACATTAGCCCTGCGGACGGGGTTAAGCCCATCGGACTGAACAATCAAAATTGTTTGTGTATGGCCAACTTAAGACTGCAGCAGTGTTCGTACTGATCAGAGCTTCAGGGCTGCGCCTTTAACTGTCTGCTTTTTTTGCCGCACAGTGTGAATTTACTGGTGTCGTAATAAGGCAAATATTTTTTTTATAACCTTTCAGTACCGCTGTCACAATTTCACTACGCTGCTTTCATTGCTATGTTCTGAATTTCCATCTGTCTAGCTCATGCACTTTGCTCTGTAAGTGGTTAAGGTGGGGCAGGGCGTTCCTCTTCCCATCCTGCACCGTGTGTTGTCTTACCTGCACATTTGCATATATGACCTAGCAGGATAATTGGGCCCCAAGCAACATGGGCGTTCCCTTCTTCACAAACACTCAGTTTCATGTATGACTCATAAGGCTGAGGCAAAGATACCACTTCCCTAATCTATCGTAGCCATTTTAACACTGCTGCCTTTTTAAAACCCTTTTCTGCTGTGCGACATTTGGAAACGTATACATTCAGGGTACAAAGAAGCCAATGTCAAGGTAAGTGACGTCAGCTCTTAGTATCTTCCTTGAAAAGGCAAAGATGTCAGGTAAACATCTATATCAGTGTGATAAAACATGGGCTGCCTTGTATGTATTACACTGGTGTCATAGCCCAGGTCAGGATCACAATGCTTACAAGCCATATAAGAAGGCGTCTTTACATTGGGGGGGCAATTGGGAGGTATACCTTTTTAAACAGCTTGGCAAGTGTTTGGCGCAGTCACACCTATGGCATCACTGGCCTTCACAAAAAAATGGTCCTTGTTAATGTTCCAGCAACACGTTTGCTCAGTGGAAGTCCTTTTTGTCATGGAGAATTTAAAGATATAGCTATATATGTATATAAAATAGGGACTGATAGATGCTGAATTAATGTACACTTTGATAAACCTAAAGCAATGATACCGTTCTATCATTAATGACATGACTGTTTTTTGAAGCACATTATAATAGCATCCACATAGGATATTATATTATAGTAATGTATTGTAAAACGTTTTGAAAACAAGGTGCATTTGATGTTTGCATCCTCTCTTCAGATAGTTTGACATTGTCATCAATAGACGACCTGCAAACTTTAAACGACTGACTCGACTGAAATTCGAGCAGTGAGCAGCCCCATCCACACCCCTCCGTTGTCAGTCAATTTGTCAGTCGACTTTTCTCAAAGAAGTTGGTTCGAAGATTCAGTGGGAGATTCGTCCATCCATGCCGTTTGGAGGAATCAATGAGCTAAACGGAAAACATTTTTTTGTAGTATATGGCTTTAAGTGCTGACGCAAATCGACCTCCAGTTATTGCAGGATTAGGTCATATTTCCAAAGCAATAAATCTATTCCCGGCATTCCACCTGCTATATGGGAAAGGCATTTGGATGGCATTTTTTGTCACATCTAACAGCGCTGTAAAGATTGAGGAGTTTAGAGATCTTATGGTTCAACTTGACAATAGAATGACGCAGCTCTGGCCGTCATTATGTCGGACATTCTAATCACTTTCCAGTTTTGCTGGGCAGCATTTTGTCTCCTTGACACTCTCCCTTCTGTGTTATGATTTGCACAATCCTTTTGTAGTAAAGAGCGTTGGAAGACTGAAACATGCCTTTTGAAGTCTTATCATTTCTTGAGTTTCAGAGATGTATGTCTGGCTTCTTTCACTTTGTTTGGTTCAGGCTCTGAAAACTAGACCTGTTTGATGTAGTTTCTTAGTTTTGATACCTCCTACATGCTACATGATAGGTCAATCTAGGTGACAATGTTACAATAGACTAGACGGCAATATCTATGATGTTGATGATATCGGAGCATAGCAGACACCCCCTGCTGATCATTCCTAGGAGGGAGAGACAATCAATGACTTTGTATTTTCCTGGTAAGTGGGTATTGTTACCCCAGGCTAAGGCTGTCACCGGGATTGTCTGCTTAAACTGTGTATGCAGGTTTGACGCTTGGGTTGTGTATATACAGTTTGACAATTTTATGTCAAGCTTTGGTTAATACTTGGGTGTAAATTAACTTGGTGTGGCATACATTAGGCCACATTTAAGGCATATATAAACCCAGTCAATAAAATCTCTTAAGCTTTAGCATTTTAATGTACTTTCAGAAGTAAGTTAATTTCTGTTTTATAGGCTGAACACCCCCAACACAGTGTTAACTGCTTGTTTAGTCTAGGACTAACATAGTCAAACTTTGGCACTCCAGCTGTGGTGGAACTGTAAAGCTGGCCATACACCTTACAATTATCTGCAGATTTTCTGTAGTTAGATGGGAAAAGTGCAACAGATTGGCCCAGGTGGAGATGACTCTATCCACATAGTTAAGTGTAGATGGAGGAATCTGTTGCACCTTCTCCATCTGACCACAGAAAATCTGCAGATAATTGTAAGGTGTATGGCCAGCTTTAGTCTCAAGGAATTGCAATACTGACAGCCATAGACATGACTTCTGGATGCAGATGCATGATGGGATGCGTAGTTTTCCCCACAGCTGGAGGACCGAAGTTTGCCTGCCGCTGGTCTAGGGAAGGAAATAAGAAGAAATATGCTCTCCTCCGCTGTCTTGTGCTCTATGGATGTGGACAGGCCCTGCACATCCTCATGTGGCTGTAAGACTGCAAGTGGCCATTTCAACACACATTACACAGGCATGGTGCACTGTTGTCACTATCGGGAAACCAGCACTGAGAATTGACATACAGACAGGAAGTGGCTACAGATCGGCGGAACTGAGATACAAGAAACATTGAAAAGGGGTGAAAACAAGTTCTTGTTTAGAGGGGGGAAAAAAAAGAGTTTTATACACAGTGTTTTAGCAAACTAAATGCCATTCGGTTAGAGTTTACATCTACTTCACAAACTCCATACTAGTATTAGATCTGCTGGGTTTCATATAAACACAGGTATTTACTGTATGTTGTGGGAAAAGCAGAAATCTGAGCTAATTTTAGGTCATGTTCTTTATGTTTGGAAGATCAAGGAACCTATATAAAAAGTGTAGCGGGATGACTGCAGTCTGAGGGTGCTGAGCTACACTATACGCCCCAAATGGATCTTAAAGCTGATTTCCAGTCTCTACATTTTTCCTTTCAACTCCCCTTCTTCGCAGCCATTGGTAAGAAATGTCACTGTACATTTCTCCTGTGCTGAAAATGTTCATAGTTTGGTTCCCAGTGATTAGTTTCATTTAAATAGTACAGCTATCTAGGTCCACCAGAAGGAGGGATCTGCATGGCACCCTACATCACATGTGTGGTCGGGTACTTAGGCGTGTAGGCCGAGCGATGGGCAGTGAGTGGGGAGCAGAAAACGTCCCTGTCATCGCTGTAGCCACTGAAGGCATCACTCTGCTACAGTAGGAAACCTGCTCTATAGCGATGTCCTACCTCTTCAAATACTGCTCTGTCCCTCAATGTCACTGCCTCATAGGATAGCTTCCTCATCAACTTGCAAACTAGGAGCTGAGCTATGCTGAGTACCATGGAAGTGATGATATTTAGTGGCAGTGCTATGCGTGTGGATGTAGGGCCATGGTCCAGGCAGAACTGTGCACAGGAACCTTGTAATAAGGAATTGCATGGAGAGAGACCAAGTGGTGCCAGTGATTGGAGGAGTGGAGCAAAGCTGGTCTGGATGAAGCGCACGCACTATTAGTCTTGTGGTCCTATTATTTTAGCAAGCACTGATATGACATCAACAAGGAGGCATTTAATTAAGAGGGTGGAGAACTGTAGGATCAGGACACTTAACAGGCAACTTTTCAAGAAACATTTCTGGACAATGGAGGTGCACCTGTAGAAAAGGAAAGGATTTTCTGAAAAGGTGAGCAGTTTGCCCAGAGATCAGTTTTATCTGTCCTGATCATGTTGCAGTAAGGATAATAAGGACATTGGTGGCACAATTCATACCTATATTTAACACTTTTATTCAGATACTTGCCTATCCATATGCAATTTTTTTTGGTTGGCTGTTTCATCGAATGGAAAAAGTCTATCAACCTGAAAGGTCTTAGAAAAAATCCCCAAGATGCCATTGATATGAGATGGTCGTTACATAGTCTGGCTTATAGGTCCCCATGTCTGTAGTGACAGACTGGCTCATTCTCCCCGAGAGTGCCCTGTAATGTTTTACCTCACATTAGGCTGAGCTGAAGGTGACCGCTCAAGCTTCCACAAGTCCAACGCCTCTCTAAAGTCCACAGCCAGCTGAAAGTTAAACCATGCTATTCCGGTTGTTATCCCATCTAATGGTACCTGTGCATAGAAGCTCTTTATTGCTTCTTCTTATGTCACATCTCTGTGGCAATCCCTAGATAGCAGCTGTGAAAACGTAGAACTCAGATGTTTGAGTTAACCCTTTTTGGACTGGCTGGCACTATTATTTTTCTTTTAAGGGTTGGGGTAGGTCAATAGAAGAAATATTCCAACCAATAGGGAACGGAATATGTTAAGTGGATTTTTACACTGATTTTCTTGAGCTGCTATCTAGGGATTGCTGGAGAGCTGTAGTAGCAATAAAGGGCTTATGAAAGCCCTTGTGCACAAGTAATACTGTTAAGGTGCCCATACACCTTACAATTATCTGCAGATTTTCTGTGGTCAGATGGCATAAGTGCAACAGATTGGACCAGGTGGAGATTACTCCATCCACACAGTTAATTGTAGATGGAGGAATCTGTTGCACCTTTTCCATCCGACCACAGAAAATCTGCAGATAATTGTAAGGTGTATGGCCAGCTTTAGATGGGATAGCAAGTGGAATGCTATGATTAACGTTAAGTACTCTCTAGCCATACTGAAAATTCTTTGAATGATAAAGTGGAATGAATGGCAATGCACATACACCTGGCATTGCAGTGTGCTGCGGTAAAGCACACATTACTGCCGCACAATGGTTATGAACTAGCCCTTTCCCTCTGTCAAGTTAGCATCTGATAGCTTTTGTAAACCCTGCAGTGTTCAAAACCAAGATGAAAGTAGATATCTTAGATAACTGTTTGTCATTTGGCCTTCATAGAAGGGTTTACGCCGGCTATATAGTGCAGTCCGAAATGTTTTGTTATCAGTAAATAATGAGGCAAAACCTGGTGATCCGGCGACTTTTCTCCTCATCATTTCCGCCCTCATCAACTTTCTAGTTTACATTTTTAAAAACAAACTTTTTGTTTTCATTACATACATTATTTTAGACCCGTTGATATCATTCCTGAGTCTCTGTGCTACTTTATACAACGAAGACAGATCATGGCTAGTGGGGTGTGTAGGCAGGGTGCTGTACATAGCTTTCCGAAAACATCAAATCGCCCTGCCTGTCGAGAACCCTCAGCCTTGATGCAAGCAGTGGGTTGGCTCTTGGGAGGAAAATATCAAAATGCCTTAATGGGCAGATATCAGCCTGGAGGAGTAGGTTTTCTTAGGCAGGCTGTATTTCCATGCATACCACCTTATGTAATGCCCAAAGGTGACACCGAGCATCCATGATTGATAGAATTCAAATCTAC